AAGAGCATTGTTCCTGAATTTTAATTGTCTGTACTGTGCAGATTCTTTGAAGCGTATTCTGTTTTGCATATGATTTGTAATGAAAATTTGGATGAAAGTGAATTCTGAAAAGTTTATTTTGTATGGGGAAATATTAGAAGTAATTTCAGGACATTACTTATCGAATATCTTTTTCTTCGAAGCCGGAAACAGCACTTTCGTGAAATCTCCCGGAGGAACGTCGACGGAAGTCCCACGCACGGTAAGTGGAAGTTGAAGCTCGAGGCAGTGGATATGATGCATTTCTAAGTATCTCTACAATAGATGGTCTTAAAACTGGGACTTCCTATTCAAGGTCGTCTTTCTTTCAAGGTTTTTTGCTTAGAGTATTCATTTTCTCTCGAAACAAGCTGGCCTTTTGAGCGTTTTTGCTCTAGTCAACTCCAACCATTCCCACCCACTTTAGTTGCAGGATTCCTACGATCCTCAGTCACCTCCTCCGTGTAATAAGAGAGTCCTGGTGCAGTTCTTGAAGTGCCGACGCATCTCCGATTTGATTCGAGAAATTCAGATGTATCAGAACCAACCGTACGCACTGCAAGTTGAAAAGAGCATTCGGGTAAGTATACATGGTCAAAAAATTGCTTAAATGGTCAAACTTAAGGATTTTGTCCTGGTAGTAATTTAGCGCGGATCTTGCAAAAAACGAATTTTATTCATGAATAATTTATGTAATTTGGTATTTTTTCTTCGGGTTCATAAGAACTTCATCTACTTCGGAGTAAAGTAGTCTTCTCCATTTTTTTTTGGTTTTTTTAGGAAAGTGCTTCTCATGGTTGTCTCACTCATAAAGTCAGCAATTACCGTCGTTGTTTAAAGTGGCTCAAATGTCAAAATGACTCATTAGCACCAATAATTAGTGTCTACTAATTAGTATTCCAGCGCTTAGTAAGGTAGTAATCTGTTTGCCATTATCTTGTCTATTTGACATGTGCCCAGATACAAAATTTCTGTAACTCAGTTGTGCTCACCATGGCTACTGATACAAATTTGGGAATCTCCTAGCTCTGATCATACCGTCTATCGCAGGCAGAATGATTTGTGGGCATAGAATAAAAGCCAACT